CAATGTCGCCTGAAAGCGTAACACTGGATGGTGCATTACTCGCGGCAATCTGCAATCTACCTTTGAACATGGGGTTTTCGCAGAATTGCAGAGCTTCGGACTCGGATATTCCTGCTGCAAGCATTCCGCCCTTTTGACCATCCTGCCCACCGGCTAGATGTGCAAAGTAACCGCGATAGTACGAGATCAATATCGCATCCCGTGCTGAAAGTCTTCCTGCTACATATGCGGCTGCAATCTCCCCAGAAGAATGTCCGATTACAGTGTGGAATTTGATGCCTAAGCTTTGAAAAAGGTCTATCAGCCCTATTTGCAACGCGGTACAAAGAGGTTGAGATACGGCAGCGATATCCACACGGGATTCACTCTCCTCCGCTAGAATCTGTTCTTCCAGTGTCCAGTTAGGGGGGTGAGGACAAGAACCCAGTATCTTATCAAGGCCACGGATAGCATTGCAATATACTTTACTGGTATAAAACAGAGACTTAGACATCGAAGTCCACTGTGCACCTTGACCAGTGAATATACCAATAATCTTCGGGCGCCCAGTGGAAGTTGCGCTCCGAACCCCTGTGATGCTCGATGTTGGCTTGAGAATATCGTTGAGAACCTGAAGTGCCTGTGCTGATGAGCCTGCCGGCACCGAGATTCGATATGGCAATGCCGTTCGATGAGAATATATACTCCAAGCTAGTTGAGCGTGGTCAACATCTGGGTGTTGCAGAATATAGTCTCTACAAGAGGCAATGACAGCTTGCAGCGATTTCTGTGAGCCAGCAGATAGAAGAAGAGGTAAAGAGAGTGGAGTATCCCCAATCTTTGCCAATGATTGCATATTTCCCGACTTCCTTCCAGACGACTTCGACTTCTTTCCAGAATTCTTCTTGTAGATTTGATCGTGAATTAGTGGTTCGTACGATTCGACGATTACGTGGGCGTTGGCGCCTCCGAATCCAAATGAATTAACACTTGCCCTTTTCGGCTGACCGATGGGTGGACGAGGCCAAGGAACCAAAGATGTCGGTACGTCAAGGTGCTTGCAAAAAGGTTCAATAGTAGGATTGATTTTTTCGAGATGCAGGTTTGGTGGAACAGCATTGTTCTTCATAGCTTCAACAACCTTGAGCAATCCAGCCAACCCAGCTGCACCCTCGGTATGCCCAAGAACGGTCTTGACCGACCCTACTAATAAGCGTTTAGTCCTAGAAGAATGAGTAAGACTCATGCTATCGTCGAAGAAAGCATTATAAATAGCTTCAGCTTCTCTAGGATCACCTGCGGGTGTACCGGTGCCGTGAGCTTCGAAGTATTGGCAATGATCGTCAGGTTCCAGTGAATTCAAGCCTGTTTTCTGATATGTATCTTTGATAAGGATGGTCTGGGCCTGAGGATTTGGTAACGTAATTCCCTTTGTTCGTCCGTCTGAGTTGACTCCAGTATCGCGAATAATTGCGGTGATCTGGTCGCCCTCTGCCAAGGCTCGAGAAAGGGGCTTAAGAAGGAAGGCGGCAACACCCTCACCACGTGCGTAGCCATCGGCTGCTGCATCCCACATCCGACTTTTGCCTGTAGGGCTCAGCATGTGTAGACTAGACTCTACGAGGAATTGTTCCGGAGTCATCATTATATTTGTGCCTGTTACACACGCCATAACGCTTTCCCCTGAACGCAAGCTCAAGACAGCCTGATGGAGAGCCACCAAGCTTGAGCTGCAGGCAGTATCTATGGTCATAGATGGGCCCTGGAAGTTGTAGAAGTACGATATTCGGTTCGAAATAATCGAACGAGCATTTCCAGTTGCATAATACTGACTCGTGAACAGGTCGTCACGCTGAGATAAGGTATCATAGTCGGCAGTCATCACACCGGAGAAAACGGCGACATTCTTCCCGGAATATGTGTTCAGAGTGTATCCAGCTGATTCAAGGGCCTCATAGACGACTTCTAGGACTAGGCGTTGCTGAGGGTCGACAGCTTCTGCCTCCTTTGGCGTGATGTGAAACATACCTGCATCAAAGACGCGATGATCTTGATCTAGCCAATATGCCTTGATGGAATTCGTTGTACCATGGTACTCTCCATCGGGATGATAGAAAGCCGTAGCGTTGAACCTCTCAGGGGGGACTTCTCGGGAGAGATCGGGAGCATTGCAAAGCACCTCCCAGAGCTTTGTTGGTGACGTAGCGCCACCAGCAAAGCGACAACTTACGCCGACGACTGCAATTGGCTCAGTCAGAGGCTGTTTGTACCCCATTGTACCGATTTAAGTCAACCTAGGTTGACCACAATATGCGTATTGTGTCACTCTAGTACAATTGATGTGAATGTAAGGGAAATGTAGATAATAGAGGGGTGAAGAGAGGATCTAGATGTTTACAAAAGAACAGACGAAAGAGAGACGAATGTAATATTGAATTTTGTGTGTTTTTATATGTGTGTGCGTGTGTGTGGTGCGGGAGTAAAGACAGGTTTGCATTATTGTAAGTTGCAATTGTAGAACTGAGAATGCATTAACATTCAAGGGGGGTAAATGGGAAGTTGCGTTCACCTGGTTGAAAAGCGGAAACAGCTGCAACGGGGAGTGATGTGTTGCTATGGTGAGGGTTGTTAGTGACAGTGACTTGCCAGTACATCGAATTCTAAGTCGAGAAAGAGCTGATGAAGGAAACTGCTGTAAATACCTAAAGTAAATTGGATCGTAACTCGAGGCAACAAGCAAAAGTACCTAAGGATATGTGACTTCGGCTTAGTACTAGAGTGACACATGATGATGCCGGTAGAAGATTTACAGCCAGTACATGTCGAGTTTCTCTCGGTGAGAACATGTACCTACTCTACACAAACACTAAGCTGGGCATTCCTTCATGAGTACGGTAGGACTTGGGTAGGATAAAATGAAGGCTACCTAGGAAAGTTAGGAAAACGTATTCATTGCATTAGTCGTTAGTCGAGAGGACTAACTGGTCCAAATGTAAAACTTAATGGCACTCATAGCTTTAGGACATCAGACCCAGATCCACTGAGAACTTTTTCACAGAGACACCATGACATGTGATTATTGTAGCCAACACGGATATATCCTCTTTTGTATTTAGGGAGGGCTCTTTCATATTCCCCTGAGCCAGAACCTCTTTGGCTGTGATGAGGCTATATTTATCTTGCATAGATGCAGACAAATTATGTCGAATTACTAGCACGGCCTTGTCGTACAATTATTATCAATGTGATATATTTATTTTTGGTATTCTCCCGTATATAAATGAAGAAGTTTTATATGGCCATTCTGCCACATGGGTAAGTAATGTTGTAGTTTTATTTCGGGAGGTTTCTCCTACTAGCGTCTTTAGTTATTAACAATGGCAGAGTCTAGATTGTAGCCTTAGGTTCGTCATTTGAACAATGAAGATCCCCTGAGAAATCCTGCAATACACCCAGGACCCGCCCCCTTAGTTGCAGTCTTTGTAAGGGATGGGCTTTGCCTATCAGATATCAGGTGTGTAACCGGTAAATGTGAATATGGATACCTTCAATCGACTGTGTAACACCGAACCACTCCCCTGGGAGACCAATTCCGGCCATTGTTCATGGCGGATTTTCTCGTGCCCCTGTACTCTTATTAAGACTTGATCATAGGATTTGTCTCGGTGTCGAATTTCCTCTTCATAAAATTAGGTATATTCTATAACACTGACCATAACCAGGCATCCTTGTATGATGACCTTGTTTGTGTCAATCCTACAATATCATCTAGGCCGCTTCTTAAGTAATTGCGAATACTTTTTAGCTAAGCATGACCAAGTAAATATTAGTTAACGGGCAACGTAGCAACAAGCAATTAGGTAGTGTCTCACCTGTCAATTAGATCCTTCTCTCCTTTTCATCCTCTTCGTGATGGCTGAGAACCATTTGCCGGTAGTAGTTAAGCAAGTAAAACAAACCAAGAGCATATTAAGTCCCATCCAGACGACAGCTAAGTTATTGCAATATCTGTGCTTAATAAATACGAAGTGCTACATAGTTCTTCTCCATGGGGAACGATGCAATGAGATATTTTTGTCATAACTTGTACTACCTACCTAAATACGCAACTAATCCCGAGGGGGTTAAACCTAACAGTAAATCATCTAGCTTTTAGATGTGGTTGTTAATATGATGTATGTCACGATCGAATGTGAAGCTTGATCAACTATGTAGGTCTCGTATTCTTACTATTCATCGGATATTACCGGTTATAGGAATAGCGCTTATTGCTAGTGTAGCTTAAACCCTACGGTTTGAAATATCATAAGCTATCTCATTAGAAGGTTCAACTTTCAACTTTTCTGACTTATGAGGGCGTTAAGTCCGAAAAATCATGGCAACTTCTCGTGCAATAGAAAAGAGGGATTCGTCAAATTAGAAATAGAGGGATCAGCATTTGCTTGTTATCAATCAAATCCCGTGATACCTAACAAATTGCTGAAAACTTCAAAAAAGGCTAGGTTTATTAATCCTCGACTTCTAACCTAGGTAAATTTGCTTCTTCTAATTCCTTCTAGTCTCTTCAAAACCCGGTACTGCTTATTGGCTCCATAATCGCTCCGCCTGGGTAATAAATTCAGGACCCTACATGTTATATTTATTTTCCTTTGTTGTAGTCCCTCTGGGTGACAAATCGGCTTGGTTACAAAGGTGTACGTGATCATTTACACGTGGTCCCCAAATCGTTTGTCTCTTGGATGTATTGATCTCGTTAAAATTGATACTAAGGGGTTTCTTCATAAATTATTTGACTAGTAAGGATAATAGATCTTGCCAACGAATCCGACAATATTTGATACACGGTTCATTAGAGAGGAATCTATCTAAATATTAAAAAATATCCATACCGATGACGCCTAGCACCCTCAAGTAATCCGAATGCAGACTAAATGAAATATTTACAGTATGAACAGTGCTTGCCCTGGAATAATACCCATCGGGCCCCTATAGCTTGCCTTCTCAACGATCAAGTCAAACATCTACTGATCTCCGGTGCCGAAGACCTCGAGATGTATCCGCTCTGGGCCCACTCCAACACCGACTAGATACTTCTCTGTATCTTTCATAAACGAGTAAGGACCACATATGAAGTACTCGGCGCGTGCGTCATCGAGGAACAAATTAGACCTGGGGTCAACCTTGCCGAGGTCTACTCTCCCGACGAAGTGGTAATCAACTCCTTCTACATCGCGCTGTTGGAGTGACGTAACAAAGAACGTTGCGTTGATGTTCTTGTTGACATCCTTGGCGCACGTGTCTCGGATATGATCGTTAAACGCGCGGACCTCAGAGCTATGTACACCGTGTATCCACGAGATGCGCCGGCGTGATCCCGCGTTTACGGCACTGTTGAGAATGGACAGCATGGGTGTAAGACCAACGCCCGCGGAGATAAGAGCGATAGGCTTGCTCTCATCTTCCTTGGGGTCAACGAAAAACTCCCCAGCAGGCGCCGTAAGCTCGAGAACATCACCCTCTTTGTAGTTTTCGTGTAGCAGATTAGAGATTAATCCCGGAACGCCAGCCTGCTTTCCCTTATCTTTCTTCACGCTGATGCGGTAGTAATCGGTGCGCGGTGCTTCGCTTAGCGAGTATTGCCTGGGTTGCATGTGACCCATTTGAGAAATGAATACTTGAAGGCTAATGTATTGTCCCGGCAGAAACGACGGGAGCGGCTGTCCGTCTTCGGGCACAAGATAAAAACTGGTAATCTCGGATGTCTCTGGTACCTTGCGTTGGATCTTGAAGCGGCGCCAGCTCTGCCAGTTCTGGTGAGCAGCGTACAGTTGCTTTTCCCTGTTGATGAAAATATCGGCCAATGCACCGTAGGCGGCGGTCCAGGCCTCGGCGATTTCAGGTGTGCAAGCATCACCTAGCACCGCGGCTACGGCCTCGATCAAATATTTTCCTACAATGGGGTAATGGTCGGCCTGGACGTTAAGACTCTCGTGCTTGTGTGCGATACGCTCTACGAGAGCTTTTAGTTGGCCGAGATCGTCAACGTAGGTGGCATAGGCAAAAACGGCACCGGCTAGAGCTCGCGGTTGAGCCCCGCTAGTTTGATTAGACATGCTAAATACGTTCTTGAGCTCCGGGTGAGCAGCGATCAGATTCTTGTAGAAGAGCGTTGTAATCGTCGCACCGTGTTCCTTCAAAACCGGAGCAGTCGCCTTGACGATGGCAATATGCTCCGGAGAGATGGGCGCAGCGACAGCCATCTTGAATGTTGACAGATGTGATATGGAATGGTTAAGTGGCAATTCTTTATAGTTTTTAATGGAAGATGGAAGAAAGGAAGAGGCGATTATGTTTCAATGGAATGAAACTCTCAAGGGATACTGATAGTTAAAATCATAGGAAGCAGCGTAGACGCTCACTCTTATATATTCTTTTAACATCTTAAAAACATGAACTTACAAAACATATGTTCGATTCAATGCAATTGGTTGTCGTTACGGAACAAACAAACAATATTCCCATCTCCGGCGTTCCGCTAGTTCATCGTACCACGTTTCCTGTGGAGGATGCCGAATTGATATTTACGGTTGAGTTGTGGTAACGAACCGAAATGTCAAAATTGTCTTTTTTCCTTCGAGATGAACCCACCAGGTCCTCCGACTAGTTTCGTGGATTTACCATCTCCGCGGTGGTCAATCCCAAAACCGCCCAAGGATTTTCTCATTAAATCTGGGTATTCTTCCTAGGGTCGACATTATTGCATATTGAGTTTTCCTTTAATCGATTTTTGAATAACTCAATCAGGTCGGTTGCTATCCTCCTAATAGTGTAGCTAAGGAGGCTCAATTATATCAAAATTATCCTCAAAGTATGGCCCTCATAAATCATATTGATGCTAACCCCGACGACGGAGTTTCCAAATCCCTGCCTTTTTCTTTTCAAATGACAATTCCCATAATATGCATATCTGCCCAAAAATTGAACCTCTAAGAAGATCGTAGCATTCTCATTTCGTGCTTCTAAACTCTCTTTTTCCGCGGACCGAGGAGGGGCTGACCTGGCATTCGAACATCACGGGGTTCGTACGGGGAGGCACGGAGAAAATAGTTCAGGTAATGGTTAGCGAAGTGCTAGCTAGGACTAAAAAATAATGGGACATGTTGGCTGTAATCCTACCTCTAAAAACCATCCCATTACTCATCAAATGGACCTAGGCGACCCGCCAAGTTGGCCCAAGTTCCAGAATACATAGGGTATTTTACGTAATTGGCCGTGACTCTAGACGCTTCTAATATTTTAAAACCTCGTTCAGCGCCGACGAAAAGTCATACGATATAGACAAATACCAAAATTTATAACCTAGAGAACTATCCATCTATGTGTATATTCCTATGAGCCAGCCGTGTGGGGTATCGGAGGACTAAGGGACTGGTAAAACATCGACCGAACCCGCGACACAATCAAATTCCGGCTTAACGGAGCCCGCTCACGCAGCTATCCAAAATATCAGACCTTATTTCCTAGAACATGAAAAATCACTCCTCCATGTGATATGAACATAACTACTCCTTCAAATTGCCCTCGTGAAACCTAGGTAATTCAGTTTGGTTGGTAAAATGTCGTGGAAGGCGGTTCTCTCCCTTTTCATATGGGTGGCCGGCTTCCTCCCGCGCTAGGTCGTTCACCCATCGACAGTTTCCTTCGAAAGTCTTGGCGCCATTCGGCTTGACTCCAACATCGTAGAATCTATTCGCTAGCTGAAACCAGCAAAGGGCGTTACCAACTGTACCAACTTCGTCGCTGACACCATTTCTCGCTTCCTGACTCATCCGGTCCCACAAGTCTTGATCCGTAAATAGATCTATGAGATGCTGTGCAACAGCTTTATAATCGCCGGGCTCGACTAAAAAGCCGTTCACCTTATCCTTGACTTGAATTGGTATACCGCCGGCCAGAGTAGCGATCACTGGCCGTCCAGCATGTAATGCTTCGGATACTTTAACCTCGAAACCCTCTCGCGTGGATAGCTGAAGAACCACATGTGCTTTCGCGATTAGGGTATTGAGAAGCTGGTCATTGGCCTGTAGACGCATGACACTAATGTCATTAGAAAATTCTGAATAATGCGTCTCGATCTGTTCCATGACGATATCATATATCAAATTTCCATCTGGGTCATCAATGGAGCTGTTACCGGTGCTGTATCAAAGAGTTAGCTTTGGGCTTTCAAATTCACAACTCTAGGGGAAACCCACACTACAAGCTGAGGGATATCTTGTAACCCTAACTCTTTGGCGCGCCGGCGAAATTCGCCATACGAATCTATGACTGTTGGTATACCCTTTGCTGGGTCGAAGCGAGCAACTTGTATGATGTATTTGCCTAGTTATATATATTAGCCTATGTCGTAGACGTAAGGGTTATTATTCTTACAGTCTGGATGCCGTAATGGGGTCCTAAAATGGCCTACGTCAGTATAGCCTCTTGTATAGGTAAATTTGGAATAGACTTACATGCGTTGGGCATGGCACTGTTCGTTGTAATTGCTCCCATAGTAACCACTATCCCAGTCATTTATGGGCTTGTTCAAGCCATCAAGCCTTTATAACGTTAGATGAGGACTAACTCATTATTAAACGGGGTAGAACACTTACCAATCTGTGGTCGCTGGCATGTACGTGACTAAGTTGCGAGGGACATTGTTCGGGACAAATTTAGGGATAGGATGGCTCACGAACATATCGGCGTGGCGGATATTGTTCCAGAGGAAATTCCATGCTTGATCTTGCGGCGACCCACTTTGAGCAACAAGATCGCTACGGATTTGGATATGAGAGCGGTAGATGATGGGGCGATTTGGCGTGATGTTTTTTATTAGTGGTATAAGGCCAGGCATTTGAGGATCATCAATCTGGGGGGGTTAAAGTTAGCGTCAATAAGCCGGTCGTATGCTTTTGGAAATCCACATATCGAAGTAATGTAAATATAAGTGAAAAAAGAAAAAGAAAAGAGAAAATGATTAGAAGGGGAAAATGTCATTGACGTATCAAAACAATTATTGGATTTTTAATGAAATGGTTGCATTCACATACCACAATTATGTCGGCACCGCCTTCATCAACAGGGCGTAGAGGACCTCCTTTAGAGAGCCAATAACGGTTGGCATTTTCGGTAATCCAGTCTGTAATCGACTGTTGATCGTCCGGAGAGATGCGTTCCTCTGGCTTACTGACGCCTTGAAGAATGTTGTGCATATTCTTGGTGATCCGGAACACACCCGGGCGTGGTTTCGGAACTAGGATATAATGTTATTAAATTGTTCATCGGCAAGAGGCTCACTATGCCCCAAATGAGACATGAGCTATATGGATCTAAGGCACATCTCAACATACCGTACCAGGTCAAATCAACGCCTGCCAAACGAGCGAATCGCACCAATGCATGCCGCATGAGTGCGACTCCACCCCCCTGAGGGGTTGCACTGAAGAAGGCGATTTTGACTTTCTTATCCTTCAGTTGCTTGGCAAAGTACATCGTTGAATTCCATGTCTCATTGCTGCACGTTGGCTTGTAGTCGTCGAGGGTAGTCAAGTGAGCTCTAAATCCTGCGTCGCTCATAACAGCACCACGGAAGCCGACTTGTAGTATGGGAACTAGAGAAGGGCCAAAAACCCTACCGAATGATGTTATCATCATGAAGAGCGTATAAAGGTAGATTCCTCAACTTACATTACACACTTGCGTGCCATCGAATCAGCCTGCTCATCAACATTTTTATCGTCCCAGAAGGACGTCTCTGACTGGTCGACATCGAAATCAATAGGAACAACATCGATTTCCAACCAGAGTCGTGAGTTCAGGGTAGGACTTATATCCTTTAAATTTAAAGGAAGCCCAGCACCGACGAATTTAACAAAGTTTTCGTGCTCATATTTCTGTATCTGAGAGACCACATAATCTGCGATGATATCTTTGTCTTTTTGCGAAGGATCGAGTTTTAAATGCTCGACCATGTAATCGAGTAGATACGTATGATCATGTGTTGCAATGGACAGCACCACAGTGCCGTCGCCATTTTTCACAGCTGAGATACCGACAAACAGCGGCTTCATATAGCAAGTTAGCCACATGTTTCATGGTCCTCAAATTTGGATGTAACTTACGGTTAGAGCCCGTGCAAAGGGCCCGTCTGGTTTACGTTAGTATCACATATTTAAGGGTGGTTTATTTCTAGGGGCCACTCCGTCCTTAGGAGGAGGAGGAAAGTGGTAGGGAATATGCTACTATTTGCTAGCAGAAGGGGTTCAATGATGAAAGATATTGAGACATACTACAAATATGTTAGCCTCTGCAGACGACTAAGAGAATGTCTATACTGACCGTTTGGCAGCGAACTCACTCAGCCGGCGCTGGTGATGTGCGGAAGTTGTTGAAAACCTCCTTCTCCTTTCTAGTGGTGCCATGCTTGTTCAAGCACCGAAATGTAAGATGGTGTTTATTAGTCTAGTAATTGTCTGTCGTATTATAAGTTTTGTTGTTACAACTGAGGTCTAGAAGACGATGCTGACCCATGGAGAGGAAGGCCTTCTACTATCTTACCTACGGAGGTATTTATAAGAGTAGAGTAGTTAGTAGGGTAGGTAAGTAGTAGGTAGGTAGTAGGTAGTTTAAGCACAGTATCCGGGAGGACCGGTGAGGGGACTCGGAAGGGGAAATGCGGTGTGAGGCAACAGATGCTGAGATGATTTCCATTCATTTACAAGTTTATACGTTAATACTTAAGGTACATGTAGGTACCTTTAGAGGCACATACTTAGGTAACCTATCCTAGGTATTCATCGGGCACCTGCCAACATTCAATCCGGAGGAAGTGGAATGATCTTGCTCGTTTTGCCAGTTGAACTTACCTGGGGGCAAGGTAGACATAGCCTTAACCTTAACATAAACCATATAAGCATGACCCCTATAGGTACCTGAGCTGTACCCCCATGTATCGGCTGAGCTGCCGTATTCCTTGGGACCGGAATTGGAGATCGGACTGTAGCGTCACAGTGACGCACTCGACCTAGAAAATTGAGGGGGATTCGACGAGGGACGTTCAGAGTCAGTATAGCAAATATGACTATGCTAAAATACCTAAATTGCAAGACTTATTAAATATGCATGATATAAATGTAGTCGTAGGGTCAAATTAGAATTGAGGCTCAAGAAAACTTCCCGGGTCCATGGTTTTCCATTACCTAGTACCCTTTAATTACCCTACCTACCTACATACATACGTATACTACTACCTGAGGAGGTGGCCCCTCATGTGTTGTTGGCTACTTTGGGAGAGCATGATCGTAAGTTTTGGATGCAAATACAACGAGATGTGTTACAAATATTACAATTTTATTAAGCTACATGTACGTGTTCCTAGGAACGTTACTTAGGTACATGTATTAACCATCCAACCCGCGTGCAACATCCATCCGGGCCATAGCCGGGGATGCAGGGCAAGTACGGGATGTACCTAACCTTATGTAAGCCATCCCGCGGGGGTATTTTAAGGCAAAATTTCCGCCCTTCCATCCCTCGTACGATTTTCGAATGTTGCTTTGCCCTGACCCGAAGGCTCGACACCGCACGTTTACCGACCGCGTGGGATGCTTTTTCTCGGGAACGCATGAATCGCAACATTACAGCTAGAATAATGAGCTCACATTTCCTTACTATATGCTCTACCAAAATTGGCGAATTATGTAGGTTAGAGAATTCATAGCTGCCCATTACGAGTGCCACCTCTGCGCCAGTTCAATCATGTCGCGCTACTCTAACGAAGACGAACGTGCCACCCGATTATAACCAATATTCAGCAGCTTTCATATTCTTTGCGTTAAATCATTTGCTTTCCTGCCGGTACTCGTATTCGGGGAGCACTAACGACATGGTCTATAGTGATCCGTAGTCCCCGTCCAATAACATTACTAGCCATACGGCATGTCCTGCTAAATTGGGAATTTTCTTCTTCTCTATCAACGTACACACCGAAGCATGAGCAGAAATCGTGTACCTCAAGATCGGTGTAGGATGAGTTGCGTCCCGGAATTTGGACCAGCCGTTTTAGAAGCCGTTATCCCAACTTGCATTCAGTCTAGCAATGCTCGTGTTGGGAAGCACTGCTGGTATCTTGTACATCAGAGCTTGGCAAAGCTACGTGCGAGTATGTTAGGTACCTATGTAGAAAGCTACTGTGACTAATATCGCTATAAATATAGTGGTAAATCACCTGAATTTAGTGAATGAGCTGCTACATACATCTGTAGTATGTAACCACTAATGCTAATACAATATCAATAAGTCAGGAGACTTGCACATGTCCAGATCGTTAATCTGGACATGTGCAAGACCTTTTAGTCTGGGCCTACCTATATATATGCTACCGCGTTGTCAGGATAGTTTCAGGTCGACTTTTGCCACAGACATGATAGCACCAGTGATATTTTTTATGCCGCTGTTGTAATCTGGGTCTACTTAACACCTTTATAACACTCAGCAACAGTCCTAATTCACGTAAGGCTTCAATAATCCTGCCCAGACAAGGAGATATAATTAAGTTAAAAATATGGATTCTTACATCTAACAGCCAATTGATAGTTTAACTAATTGAGGTATTAGAATTTTTTTTAGTTTTCTCTTTTGAACTATCTATGCTAGTGAAGTGGCAGGTTCGCTTGTTCGCTTACTGCCTCAATGTGGGAGAAATCGTATGAAAATGCCTAGTGTTCGTAGTTAAGAATATTCAACATTCAACTCTGAGATCAATCCCTAACAAGTTCGACAAGCATACCGAGTAAGGATGGGAGGTATATAACTCGCCATGTCTTATCATCAGGCTCACTTGCTGTCACCCTTCTTCTTGTCGGCTTGTTTCGCATCCTTCCCACCTTTATCCTCCTCCTTATCGTCCTCCTTATCGTCCTTCTTATCGTCCTTCTTATCGTCCTTCTTTTCATCATTTTCATCCTTTTCCTCTTTACCCCCTTCCTTCCCGCTACTTGACTTCTTCTCATCCCCCTTTGCCTTCTTTGCCTCTTCTTTCTTCTTTCTCTCTTCGGCCTTCTTTTCCTTTTCTATTTTTTCTTTCTCCTTATTCTCAAGATCTTCCCACTTCTTGGTATAATCTTCCTCGCCCCTTCGGCCGTGTAGCTTCTCATCCAGGCCTGTTAGCCTTGGCTTCGCATCGCCTACTTTCATCCGCCCGATGAGACTGATAAAAATGGCAGCGCCCACGACAGCGGTTAATACAAACCGGTATGCTCCATACCACGAGGGTGCCCAAGCTCGAACGGTAGCTCGAGAATCAGCAAAGTACAGCATGACAAAAGCCGCGAACTGAGATGTAAGTGCAAAATCCATAGGCATGAGCAGTGTTGGCCACGCTACTATAGGAGCCAGGACACCGAGTCCATACCGGAACCGCGTGCGGTCTCGGTTGGGCACCTTTTCTGTGTACTCCATGCCCCAATGAACCGCGCCAAGGAAGCTGATTATGATGGCGCCGTATCCCAGTTGTATGGGCTCGATGACATTCAGTAATTGTCGAGCCGTATCATGGCTGATGAGGATATTATTTAGGAAATTGGACGTAGTTGGCCACACAGTATTTAAATCCCATGAAAGATAAACGGTAGAGACAGACGTAGCGAGATATGGTAAAGTGCCCGCAAGACCAAGAAAATAGGGCTCTTTTGGAACGCTCGAAAGGTCAAAAGTATTCTTGACTGTTTCCTATATAAATTGCATTAATATGTAGACCTGATCGATTGAGCTATATAGAATCCTTACTAAGTCGTCCCTGACGCCATGCCTAATGGGTTTCTGTGCTTTTTGGCTATCGGGCTCATATAAATGACGAACACTTGACTCCGTGGTTACTACTTCTGGATTCGACTCAAGCTTGCGCTGGCCAACCTTCTTCTCTTCTTCTGGATCTCTTCCCTGTTGGAAGCCTCTCGGTGTCTTAGTGACATACTGAGCTTTTTGTGTTGGTGCAATATTACGGAGAATAGGCGCTCCTGGGTATATTGAACTGGACTTAGTAGATGTAATTGTCGTCCGGTTTTGTGATCTTAATAGTAAAGAGACTGGAGGTTTTGAGGAAGAAATTGCTCTAGATGAGCTTGTTAAGAAGGACCGCGTGCTTCGTAACATTGTCATTAGCTGTTATAAGTTTGATCCTCTCTTACTGGTACATATATATACCATATAAACGAAGTAGGGAGAAGCACTAATACTAGATATTAACTAGGAGAACTTAAAACTATCTTGGGGAAAATAAAGTAGTTATTTAAAAATGGACATTACAGAATCACTATCTTAAGACGGGAATAATTGATGCAATTACATCGTCAGGCCTCGTTCCGGGAGACATCTTGTTCCTGATTGAGCTTGCTGAGCTCAATGACGTAATAAGCTAAGTGTGTATCACTTTATGATACCATAGGTAATTAAAGAGGTACCTAGGAAGTACGATACATATGAGGTACATCATGTGGACACTACCCCTCGATCTGTGGCTGAAGGCTAGAGGCTTAGGTACTTAAATTTCTAGTAGCGGCCACTAGGTACGGGTAGTCCACTATTAATTCTTAAATTGTAGAGTACGATTGGCTAAAACTCCAAGTCTTTATTTCGAGGAGTTGGTCAAGCCACAACTTGAACCAACAACAGCGTCATCAATCCTGCAAAACAGGCACCAAATAATTTCAGTCGCAAGGTATGATAGCTAATGGAAATTGGCGATATTCTGTTGCTTACTTGTCCGTCTACTTCCTACTACTTCGTAAAAGTTCTTTAAGGTCTCTATTTCTTGATTTCAGAGCTTACACAATTTTGGAGAGCTTCTCATTTACGATACACCACTCATATATCCCATTTGATATTATCGTATACCTTCCTATACACTTATTACGTACCTATCAATATTTCCGTATCCTCCTCTATCCGGTCCAGGAACCATAGGTTAGCTTGCTACCCAATCTATGCTAATCTAGGTATCTTGGGTTAGGTACCTACAAATCTATCTACCTACATGTAGTTGGCCTCGTGTAAATCCAACTCTTTTATCACCTTTCCCCCCCAACTCAATAAACATTGCTGCTCATAACGCGCATGTTCTCTATCTGCTTTCAGCCTAGCGACTTAGCGATACCCCACTACGAATCTATGAGTTTACGATAGCCGACGGTTTATCTTCCTACCTTATGCCACTATCGAAGTAATAACGCCTTCCAATTCGATTGCTAGCTTAAAACCGTCGCAAGACGATACTCCCGTTCAACGAGTCTTCTCGTATTAATTCCAACTTGTCCAACCTAATCGTATTTCCCCAGATGAAGTGACCTGATACCCACCGTTAATCCACGAAGTTGCCCCGCCCGGGTTACGGCGCAATACAGTCAGGATGCTGGAGGGCTTGGTTGCTGGGTTGCTTAACCGTTTCCTGGGTATGTATGTCAAAAATTTTGACCCTACCCAGTTGAAAGTCGGTATATGGTCTGGCGATGTGAAGCTACGCAACTTGGAGCTCCGCAAGGAGGCTCTGGACCAGTTGAAGCTTCCCATCAACGTGATGGAGGGACATTTAGGAGAGCTGACTCTCGTTATACCTTGGTCCAACTTGCGAGGGGCGCCGGTTAAAGTCTTTATCGAAGACGTTTTCCTACTTGCATCTCCAAAGGAAGAAGCAGCCTACGATGAAGATGAAGAAGAACGCAGGCGGCAGCGATTAAAGATGGAAAAATTGGACTCTGCTGAGCTTTTGAAAGAAAGATCACAGGAAGGACTCAGTCAAGAGGAACAGAAGAAGAGTCAGAGTTTTACAGAGAGCTTAGTCACTAAGATTGTCGACAATCTGCAGGTCACAGTCAAAAATATTCATGTGAGGTACGAAGACTCTATATCGGCCCCAGGACATCCGTTTGCCTTAGGTGTCACTCTCGGCGAATTCAGTGCTGTCAGTACGGACGGCGAATGGCAGCCTACCTTTATCCAGAATTCGACTAAGACCACACACAAGCTAGCGACTCTTGGGGCGTTGGCAATCTATTGGAACACAGATACTACCCTGTTAGGTCCGGGCCGTGAAATGGAAAGGGGAGATGAGCATGTGTCCCACCAAGACATGATCAAAAGCTTCAAGGAGATGATAGGAAAAGGAGACAATACTGCCCCACCAGCAGACCATCAATTTATCTTGAAGCCAGTAAGCGGCCAGGCCAAGATCGAGCTTGACAAAACGGGCGATGTACATGTGCCAAAGTTCAAAGCGAGCTTGCTCTTCGATGAAATCGGTGTTGTTCTGGATGATGATCAATATCGAGATGGTTTAATGATGGTTGACCTTTTCCATTATTTTATTCGCCACCAGGAATACAAGAAGCTTCAACCTAAGGGAGTGACACCGAAAGAAGATCCCCGTGCCTGGCTTAAGTTTGCCGGAAACGCGGTACTTACTAAAATTCATGAGAGGAACCGTAGATGGACATGGGATTACTTTCGTGAGCGTCGTGATGACCGTCATCTATACATTGAACTTTTCAAGAAAAAGAAGGCAAACCAGCAACTATCGCCACAAGAAATCGACGACATTAATAAGCTTGAGTGGAAGCTTGGCTATGAAGACTTGCGGTTCTGGAGATCATTAGCTCGCAACCAACTGCGAAAGGAGAACGCAGAAGCACTCAGGAGAGCACCATCTAAGGAACCGCAACAACAAGGGTGGTTAGCTTGGGCGTGGGGCTCAAAGCCGTCCGAACCCAGCGACTCAACGGAAGAAAACACTCAGATGACCGAGGAGCAGCGCAAAGAGCTATATGAAGCGATCGACTGGGACGAGAAAACCGCTCTGGCTGAAGCTGTAGACATGCCACGTGACATTATTAAAATGCAAGTTGATGCATCTCTCAGTACCGGCAGTTTTACTCTGAGACAAAATCCACATGGGAATACGACCGATTTGCTGAGTCTCCATTTCGATGTTTTTAAAGCGAAAGCGTTTCAGAGGCCCGACTCCGTCCTTGCTGATATTAGCCTGGGTGGTTTCCGAGTCAATGACGGTACTACCCCAGAGAGTTTATTTAAGGAAATTGTTCGGGTTAAGGATGCCCCGGATACGAAGAGCAAGAGACGGCTTTCCATCGCCGAACTGGAGAAGTCTGAACAGGAGACCTTCTTTGACTTACAAGTTGAGCAGAATCCCCTCGATGGGAAGAGCGATTTCGCAGTGACGGCGAAGCTCAAGCCACTAGAGATCGTGTGGAACCCCAACTTCGTTGTGGGTGTTGTTGACTTCTTCAAGCCACCTGAGAGGCACATGGAATCTATAACGGCATTGATGGAGACTGCTGGGGCTACTGTTGAGGGGTTGAGACAACAGACACGTGCCGGCCTTGAGTTCGCTCTTGAGGAGCATAAGACTATTAATGCTAAGCTAGACCTTCAGGCACCTCTTATCATAATCCCCCAGTCTATTAAGACAGCGCGATCTACATGTCTCATTCTAGACGCTGGTCATATTAGCGTCAATAGCGAGCTAGTCGACAAAGGGACTTTGAAGCAGATACAGGACAAGCACCACCAGCAGTTCTCCGATGAAGACTTCAAACAGCTCGAGTCTCTCATGTATGATCGCTTCTTAGTTAAACTAACATCGACACAGGTCCTGATTGGACCTTCTATTGACGAGACGAAGTCCCAGTTAGTCGATAAGGATGATAGTCGGATGCTCCATATCGTGGAGAAGATCAATGTCGATTTTGTAGTAGCCCTGTCCATATTGCCAAAGGCGCCCAACCTGACAAAGGTCAAGGTATCAGGTCACATGCCTGTACTTCAGGCAATGGCTTCTGACACTAAATATAAGAGTCTGATGAAGTTAATTGATGTCGCTATACCAAAATTTGACGGAGAGCAGCAGCAAGTCAGGACCGAAGGCCAGTTCAAAAGACCACGTCTACTTAGTTCCGCGTCGAGCCGTTTACCAAAATCACACGACCACAAGGCTTCATCCAATCTATTCCTCACTCAACAAACTGCTGTGATCCTGGAAGACGATTCAGACGATGATTCGGATGAATTCGAGGATGCTGCGGATGGAAGTTCAAACCAGCGGCTTAAGACGCAGCAACGCAACTTTGAATTCAAATTCGCCGTTGATAAGTTACAAGGCTCTCTCTATCGCAGTGACCCTGATGGGGTGCGACCTGAGTCGCTACTCGTAGAACTAATCGCGGAAAACTTTGATCTTAATTTCTACATTAGGTCTTACGATATGGCAGCAGAGGTATCCCTAGGTTCCGTATCGGTGGATGACTTCGTCGACAACCCTCCGGCAGAATTCAAATCTATTGTGTCATCTGGTGATATCGAGGATCGCCAGCAACAGAGAGACCTCGTTCGTGTAAAGTTCACCAGAGTCAAGCGGGAATCTCCAGAGTTTATGCCAGTGTATGAGGGCA